TAGTAAAAATAATATTGAAAGTCTTATTTCTAAATTATTAAAAACACCTATTCAACTTCTTCTTTTATTTTGTTTTCACAAACTTTATTGTAAAATTCTGTAATTAGATCTTTAATATCTCTTTCAAAAACTCTTCTTAAAATTTTTCCTAATACTTCCAATAATATATTAACACAAAAACAATTGAATGCTATTATTCAACAAGCTAAAGCTAAAATTTATAAATATACTAAGCTATCATAAGTAGCCATATCACCAGAACTCTATTCACAATTTTTTTCAAAGATTAATAAGCTCAAAAGACTATAACAATAGAGAAAATAAGCTTTAGCAGTTAAGAAACAATGCAGAAGTTCAAAAGTGAGTTAAGAAAAAAAGCGGCAGATGTTAGAAAAGGAAAATATTGTGAAAATATATGATACATCTAGTCAGCTATCATATTTAATGAATGATTTTAGTCTTTTAGAAAAAATGCATAATAGCATTAAAATTTGAAGTTGTAGATTAAAAACAGCATAAGAAGGTAATCAAAGTATGAACAATTAAACATCTTTATGAGAAATTAGAAGAGGATTATAGAATATATATGTCAAAATCTATGTTGCAAAATTATATGTAATCTCAACATCTGGGGATAAAGGAGATACAATGATACTACTATCCTACACAAATACAATTTGCAACTATTAGAAGAAATGAAATGAATAATCATTTAGATGAACATTATTGCTTAGCATCAGTCAAAGATGTAAAATCCTTTGCATCAGCTTATCTGCAAAGTGTTTTTCTAATTCACAGGATGACAAGGCTAAGGTAAACTTATTATATTTTTTAGGTGGTAAAAAGAAAATTGGCAAATCTGATTAAATTAAATTATTTATTTTATTATTAGGCTTCACTAGATATTACTGCAGTTAGAAGAACATTCAAAGCAATATAAATATCAAATAAATCTGTATCTATTCTTGATCACAATTTCCCAATGGCTTCTAAACATAAATTAATACCATCTATTTATTTGTTAATTAATCTCAACAATACAAATAATTTTTTAAACTCTAACAAATTGCGAATTTTTATTCGTTCTGAGTATTTCTTAGGTATTTCGTGTAAAACTCACATAGTTGATCTTATGAAAATTACAAAAAATGTGTCTTTTTATGAGTTTACACATTATAAAAATTCAGTGAAACTTATTTAGTGTTTATGAACAAATGGTGAGCCTGATGAAAACTCTCAGTTTCTTGCAAATAATATAAAATATTTGCTCAATTTCAAAAAACTTGATTTAGATTATCTTATAGTATGAACATATATATCAGAATAGTCAGCATATAACCTAATAGAATGAAATATGTCATTATTATTTGGCAAACTAGCAGGCATTGTATTAAATGCTTTTAATTATAAAATTTATTTTGACAATGTAAATAGATGAATTTTTATGATTGATGATAAACTTGACCATAAAAATTTTAAAGATGCTAGTGAACATTTATGTGAACTTTGAAACTGAAATCCTATTAATAGATGATCAGTTATTATTACATATATTGAAAAATATGATAGCTTTATATTTTCGGACATTGAAAAAAGATATGAGATTAAATCAATTATTATTTGCAAATTTGTAAATATTCTTTTTATTTATGAAAATATAATGATCAGAATTGTTATAAACCACTATGAGCTTCTGATACTTTTAAACTTTTATTATTAAATAATGGCTTTTTTTCTCCTATTATATAAGGACAAAACAAACATTTTCTTAATCTATTGCACATATTAGAATACTTTAATGATTAGCTTTCTGATTATGATAAGTATTACCCAAGTATTACATCTGAATTGTATCAAGAACTTATATGCAAAATATGTAAAAGTATTTTCTAATAAAGACATTTATAAAAATGACAATATATTCAAGCAGAAAAGAAAAAAGAACACAAATAATTCAAGATGAATAATCTATAATTAATCATAATACATTGAAGGGAATTATATAATAATAAATAAAGAATAGTGAGCATAAAAAGAATGGAATAAGAAACTTAAAATCTTAGAATCAAGAATATCTTACATTTAAAATTAATATGTAATTTTTTTTTATAAATAAATTACTTCATCAGATCTATAAAATAATAAAGTTAGCAGAATTTATTTTATAAATTTAATATTAAATTTTTATCATATGATGTCACATGATTAAGTTACACTATTTCTTTATTTGATTAATGACAAAGAAGAGAAGAAAAATCCCAAAAAATCAAATGACATCATTTTTGGTCCTTCCTTAACAGATACTTAAAAACATCACTTTAAAGTTTCAAAATATATAGAATAAATACTAAAATTCAATATTTTATATTTTTGGAAATAAATAAGAATTTGTGTTTCTTATAATAAATTTTGATCAAAATAAAATAACAAAAAAATCAATTTATTTAATATGAATCTGAAGATTATTTTAAACAGTTAATTTTAAGTTAATTCTTTATATAAAAAATTGGTGTAATATCTCCTTAATACCAAAAAGCTAAATATAACAAATGATTTTTCTTTACATACTATACCAAAAAGTTTATTTACTTTCTAATATATTAAAATTATAATGTATTAAAATCTTAATTTTTATTAAAAATTATTAAATCTGATTTATCTAATAATTAAATATATATAGACATTTTATAATTTATAATACAGTAAATATGATTTTTTTTAGTAAACTAAATACAAATTAATATTAACTCATAAAAATTTTTTTCTGAAATTTCTTTCTTTCTATTTTTTGTTATAAAAAATCCATATATGTTTATAAAAATAATTATTAAAATGAAATTTTATTTAAAATAATTAAATTTATAATGTAAAAAATTTTTATTTTCAATAATTAACCAATTTTACCAATTTTACCAACCTAACATTGAATTATTACATATAAAATCAAGTTTTTTATATTAAAATCAATTTTAATTAAAAATATTTTCGGGAAAATAAAATATATATTAAAAAAAGATCTTAGTAACGCATTAGGTTAGAGATAAACTCAATAACATTTAAAGAAATAGGTTTTTCTATTAAAAGTTAATGCGGAATTTAAAATCTATTATTGGATTATTCAATGATCAACAGCTTGTTGCGCAGCATCAATTTATTTATAAACCATATGCGCCTTTACATTCTGTTTTTTTTTCTTACTTTTTTTTTATTCGAGTCCTTTTAACCTTGCGCGTTTTTTTAGGTTTAGAAGCGATAAATTTGAGAGTATCATACGCAATGGCGCAGCAAAGAGAATACATTAGGTTAGAAAAGTTGGGAGAAGGTACATATGCCACAGTTTACAAAGGCAAAGAACGAAGATCAGGAGAGACGGTGGCTTTAAAAGAAATTCATTTGGATTCAGAAGAAGGAGCACCTTCCACAGCTATTAGAGAAATATCTTTAATGAAAGAATTAAAACATCCAAATATTGTTAAGTTGAAAGATGTAATTCATACAGAAAATAAGCTTATGCTTGTTTTCGAATATATGGATCAAGATCTTAAAAAATATATGGATTCTCGTGGAAATCATGGAGCATTAGATTCGATGACAATTAAATTATTTATGTATCAAATGTTAACAGGAATAGATTTTTGTCATCAAAATAGAGTACTTCATCGAGATCTTAAACCACAAAATCTCTTAATTAATAAAAATGGACAACTTAAACTTGCTGATTTTGGTTTGGCACGCGCTTTTGGAATTCCCGTAACAACTTTTTCAAATGAAGTTGTTACTTTATGGTATCGTTCTCCTGATGTGCTTTTGGGTTCTAGATCATATTCAACATCAATTGATATATGGTCTGCAGGTTGTATTATGGCTGAAATGTATACTGGACGTCCCCTCTTTCCAGGTGTAAGTTTATTAATGTTGTCGGTTTTTTTTTAAATTCCCAACCTTGAGAACTTTCGTCTAATTTTTTTTTTTTTTTCTCTTTCTTTATGTCACGTGACGACAACGTAGACTACCAATGAAGATCAATTACTCAAAGTTTTTCGTATCATGGGAACTCCAAATGAACAAACGTGGCAAGGAGTGTCACAATATCCAGAATATCACAAACCATACCCACAATTTCCTCAACAAGATATGGGAGTATATCTTCCAATGATCGACCGTCATGGATTAGATTTACTCATGCAAATGTTAGTTTTTGATCCTGACAAAAGAATTACAGCAAAAAATGCCTTAAAACATATATATTTTCAAGATTTATTAGTTGATAATTTTGAAAGTTCAACAGCTATTAATAGTTATAATAACGGAATTCCGCAAATGGCACCACCTCAATCTACTATGAGAATGTCCGTACCTCAAATGACGATGCAAATGGGTCCAATACCGACTGGTGTTAATATGCAAACACTTAATGTTCAACCTGTCAATATGCATATGGTGCCTTCTGGTGTAAATATGCAAATGGGTGGAATGCCGTCAACCGTTCAACCTATGATTGCGGTACCTCAATTAATGCAAGGTGGTGCTCAAATGATGGGTCATCCTTCTAACGCACCTACACAAGCACAAATGATGCCACGTGGACCAAGAAACCATATGCATGATAATTATGGAATTGAATAACGAGTCATTAACAATGTTTCTTTGAAGTGAAGTTGATATTTATCTCATTTCAGTAACTTTTTATTTGAGTACTGACATTCTTCTTTTCTTAAATCTTTTTCCCATGATTATTCGGTAAACATATATTTATTGTTATCATTTTTACTTATCGATAATTATTTTATTCATGTAAAATTTTATTCCAAATAATTGCGAGATTGAATTTTTTTAAAAAAAAAAAATTGTTTCGCGTGTATTCTTATAAACGTTTTTCTCGGTAATTGAAAAGTAAAAGGAATACAACCAATTATACACACACACGGATGTTATAAATTATTAAATTGAATAAGCCTTTTATAATAATTTTTTTTTTTTTTTTTTTTTTTTTGAATAACTTATCTACTCCACTGTTTATCATTGTTCTTTTTCAAAGAATTACCCCTCTGTTTAACAAAATGATTATTTGATCCCTTATCATTTCTATCTCGTTTGCTAATTTTTGAATCTTTTCCACTCGAACCTATAGTAATATGGACTTTTGGTGGTACTTTAAAACCAAATGCTTTACCGACTTTCTGAAGATCTAAATTATTCACATTAAATATCGATTTAAGTGAATAGGAAGTATAAGACATTAAATAAGATCTAAATCCATCACGGGCTGATTCGTGAAGATAATAATTTTTTTCAACAAGCTTTTCAAGCTGTATGAAACGAGAAAAAAGTATATATATTATTATTAAAAAAAAAAAAAAAAAAAAATATGTAAATAAAGTCTCATACCTGTGATTGAACATTAGCAATTTTATTTGCAGGGAATTGATATTCATTTAATGGTACTTTTGCATGTTTAAGGTAGCGTAAAAACCCTAATTCATTTGGTAATAAAAATAATAAGCTTTTTCCTTGACCACCTGCCCTAGCGGTTCTACCAACTCGATGAATATAATCACGTGGATCGTCTGGCGGATCGTACTGTATGATCCAATCCACTGCAGGGATATCTAATCCTCTTGCGGCTACATCTGTACAAAGTAGAACACCATGTTGTGCATTAATAAATTCAAAAAAGGTATTTGTACGCTTTGTTTGTTTTTGTTTTCCCTTTTTAATAATACAATTAATTAATTAATTAAATCCAAGTTTACATACAAATAAAGATGATTAAAATAAAAAGATCACTTACGTGTAAATCTAATACCGGCACATCAATATAATTTAATAATTCCGCATGGTATTTAACAGAATTACAACTAGAAAAAAACACTATAACCTTTTTTTTTAAATTTCTTTTTAAAAATGTAAATAATAATAAAAATCTTTTATCACTATCACAAACAACATATCCCTGAACAAGTCCATCCACTGTAGCCGTTTCTTTTTTTTCATCTACGTTAATATATAATGGTCCTTGTCTCAAGGATATTCGTACAAGATCTTCAACTTTAGTTGTTTGCGTAGCGGAGAAGAGCATTGATTGTCGATTTTCTAAAAATAAAATAATAAAAAAATTAACAATATATATGTATATCAAGCTATGCATAACTTCCTAATATATATATATAAAATACCTTTGGGAAGAATTTTAATAATTTGCTTCATTTCCTCCTCAAAACCAATTTCTAATATACGATCTGCTTCATCTATAACAAGAGCTTTGAGATTCTTGTATACAAACCCTTTGGTGTTCTACGTGATATGATAATTAATTATTAAAGATAAAATTTGCCTTTATCATATTTGAAATGATCTTACAAAATACCTGAAGATGATCTAATAATCTTCCGGGAGTGGCAATTAATAAATTTACTCCTTTAGTTATTTTTTGAACTTCAGCTTGTCTATTAGCTCCACCCATTACAATTCCAAATGTTTGTTGATGATATTGAAGCAATTCTTTTACAACTCCAAGAATTTGAAGAGCCAACTCTCTTGTTGGAGAAATGACGATTACACCGGTTCCTATTGAAATAAAGGTAATTATTAAATAATTTATATGTGATTAGAATATTATGAAACGCTACCATTTCTGGGTTTAAACTTTAATTTGTGGAGTATTTCAATCGCCGGAATTAAAAACGCTAAAGTCTTGCCACTGCCTGTTTTAGCAGCACCTAGAACATCTCGACCAGCCATTAATGGAGGTATCGTTCTTGCTTGAACTTCCGTCATTCTAGTGAACCCTATTTCTTTAATGGCTTTCTTAGTAGGTTCCGAAATATCTAAAGTTTCGAAATCGAAACTGACTGATTCCGAAGCTGTTTCTATTGTAATTATAAGTATAAAAGTATAAAGAATATATTGAATACGCATTATAATCATTAATGTTAAACTGAGTAACCAAATATTTATACCGGTAGTTTCAAGTTGAGGGACTTCACCCATTCCATCGATCAAATTTGATTGTTCTGCCTTTTGTTTTTTATTAACTTTTTCTTCCACCTCTTCTTGATTGCTACTTGCACTAAGTGAACGTTTTGACATTATTAAAATTAATTACAAAATTAAATTATTTAATCTACTTTTGTCCAAATTTGTCGCTGAAAATCCTTTTAATCAAAAAAAAAAAAAAAATTAAATTTTTTTTTTTGATAAAATTTTCAATAAAATTTTTATTTGATATACTTATCCCTTAAATGTAAAGGATTTTCGTCACGGGTATTTAAGCACTATGTTGAATCACAAATTAGCCATTGTAAGGCATGATTTTTCGATCACTTTCTTCACGGATCCATCGTAAATAGCACGACGCTTCTTTTTTATTTTCTAGCTTTCTTTACATAACATTTAGGTTCATGAGAGTCTCTATCAATTGATAAATTTCTTTAACCAATTTCGATCTTGAATTGTCATAATGTTTATTTTTTTGGCGTTAAACATTAATGACAACGGAGATGAGTTAATTTACAATCAACTAGACACGATATCTTTCCATAAGTAGCCTAAACTTATGTTCTTGACTTATAAACGAGAAACACTTCTCATCAAAGCACAGCTTGCCAATTTCAGTCTTCAGTTTATTTGATTGATTCTTCTTACTTGATACCAGTTAATCTCCAATTGTATAAGGCGTAATTGAGTACGCCTCCGTGAACAATGTATCAATAAATAAAATATTTGCAGTAAATGGATGCTATTTTTATTAATGTCATTACATTTTTCCATTAATGATCCATTTAATTTTACATTTGGATGCAATGATTGAGCGAACGTTTGACTCTCCATGAGAAGTATTCTACACGTGGAGGTAAATGTATTCAGGACTCTTTCAGTTGAAATTGATTACAAAGTTGTTCAATGACTACTTTCATCGGTTAGCAACTCATCTTGAGGTAGGGAAGCTGATGATAAAGATGGTAAGATACAAGACAATCTATAGTAAATGCTTGGGAGTTCTTGTCTTCCTGGCCTTCTGATCTGTCTACTTGGAACCTCCGTTAAAAAAGTACCTCCATTATAACGTTCTCTTCCGCTAGCAAAGTTATATCGTCTAGCTTCTTTATCAACCATCTGCTGAGTAAGCGATTCCATTTTCACGTCAGCACTTTTTCGTTTTCCTCATAAGATTCTCTTTTCGCAATCCACTCATAATATGAACGTTCGGGATGTGTAATATGCGAATTTCGTGGTTGAATTTTCTATTATAACAAAATATTTTATATACAACATATCGAGATTCGAGACACTTATCAAATATCTCCCCAAGCATTCATAATTCATATTTATTTTATGATTTAAGAATTTGCTAATATTACATCAAGACATTTCAAGAAAAATTTTTTTAAGCTTTGACCTATCAATACTGCCGAGCTGATTAATTATCGATCATAACCCCTCCGCCAAGATTTACCCAAAGGAAGAGAAGTTCTTATCTGCACGTATGTAAATAATAAACAATAAAGAAAGAACGTTCAATTATAAAAAAAGAAAAAAAAAATTTTTTTTCGAATCAAGTGATTATAATATTGGTTTAGCCCGCCCAGTAGCATTTCTTCCCCTGATTAACAAAAAAAAAAAAAATAAACCAAAGTTTTGGTTACAGCTCGTTATCGTGATCGTAAAACTCAATTCACTTCAAACATATTATTGATTATCCTACCTTGTTGTTTTACTAGGTTTCCTAGCGACAAAATATTCATAATCACTCCTTTTAATGGGATTCATCAACTCCCTCATTTGGTTTTCTGACTTCAGGACTAGGAATATTGATTGATTTTTTTGATCTTTCGACAAGATACTCATCATATGTTTTTTCAACCGGTTCTTGAGCTAGCTGCAACAATAACCACATTTCAATAGGATCCATTATTTTTATAAGCGCCTGTTTTGTTAGTTCCCAATCATCAGGAAACTTGTTTCTCTGAGGTGGGTTTTTATCTCTTGTATATTTTCCAAACCGAAGCTTTAAAACTAACATTTTTCAGCTCTAACAAATTATCAAATTCTTTAAGCGTCAAACCTAACCTTTCTAAGACCTTAAACAGTTGTTGTGTTACAACTTTAGGGTATTTGTATTTTTCAGCTCGTAGAGCATTTTTAAGCCTTGTCCAATCACTCATCCCTTGATTAACTTTGCTTAATTCTTCTGAAATAGAAACTTTGAAGCAATCAACTACGTCTCTGTAAGTGATTAATATGTCGGATTTTTCTTATTTCCGCTTCAAGATTTTCTACTTTATTCTTTAAATTCTTTATCTCTCTATCTTTTTCTTTCAAATCCTCATCTTCCATTTTAATTCTACCTTAAGCTGAGCTATTTCATTTTTTAAGTTCGTTATTTCATCATCTTTACATTTTAATTCTACCTTAAGTAGATTTATTTCGTTTTTTAGGTTTGCATTTTGATCTTCTTGGTCAATAATTTCGTGTTTAGTTTTTTTATATTGGTTTGTAATTTATTTACTTCTATGTTATTTAAAAAAATGATTTGTACAAAAATTTAAAAATTTTTTCAAAGTCCCCCCTGGTGCACATTTTGCCTTTCTCAATCCTGTCCATTACAGCACAAGCCTCTTTAATAAGTAAATGTTGAATTGGAAAGGGAAATTTGTGGATTTCTTCGATAATATCGTCATCTACGTCATAAGCAGAGATTTTTTTAATACG